TGATATCATGATGTTGTTATTATTTTCGATGTTTTACATTAGTATGAGTTTCCACGGAGCACAGTGCCATAGTGCTCACTCCCCAGTTTTATCATGTTTTTCAGGTCAAGAAGTCGGACCGGGAGCGTGACGTGACGTGCCGGAGACTTCAGGATATTTATGTTTTGGACTGTATAATTATGACTTACGCTTCCGCTTACGATATTTTGATGACTTGTGATGATATTTTGATGACTGTTGACGAACTTATCTTTTGTCGAATTTTTGAGAAAGTTATATTTTCAATAACCAGATGATTTTATTAAAACTAAAACAACGGTTTTCTAAGTTAAGTCATGATTTTTAAAGGTAGCACCCCGAATCAGTTTTCACAAAGTAAAAAGGTTTTATTTTAAATAACTTTGCGAATTTTAGCGCGCCTTGATTTAACGATAAGGAGGGGTGTTACAATTGGTATCAGAGCATGTTTCTGCGTCTCTGAAAAAGTTTTTCAGACAGTAATTTTTCAGAAAAACCTGAACCGTCATGCTCACGCCCCGCCGACGACAGGTAGATGCTGATTCAGTTTTTCAGTTATAAACATATTACTTTGTCTATGCTCAGAGTTAAGGATCAGGACTTTAGTTAAGATGCTCGAATCAGGTTCAGGTTTTAGAGTTCGGACATGACTCTAGAATTCAGGCAATCAGATATGACTCTAGACATTAGGATCTTCCTATATGACTCTAGAGTTCTTCAGGTTTCACGTCAGTATTTATCGGCCATTTTTGGCAACTCGTCAAGAAATTTGTATGTTGAAGTAATCAGTCAGGATATTATTATGTATTCAATAATGTTAAATTTTCTCAATGTTCAGATGCCGCCACGTAGGGAACCCGATCATCAGGCTCCTACTCAGGCTACGGTAGTCGCTCAGTTCCGCGACTATCACGCCGAAAAGTTCTCAGGGCAGGGAGACCCCCGCATCGTTGATGAATGGATTCAAGGGTTAGCATTATCCTTGAGGTTATGGAATGCCCCGATAGGTATCGCGTAGTTTGTGCTCAGCTTCAGCTCACTGGTGATGCAAGGCTCTGGTGGAATGCCTACTGAAGCATGCGTCCCGGTGAAAAGGCGGGTTGTACATGGGACATGTTCAAGGAGCTAGTCCGTGACAAGTACTACCCTTCCTACTATCGGGCAGAGATGGAGCGCCAGTTCTTCGCGCTTCAACGGGGCACTCGTACTGTTGATGAGTACGAGCGAGAGTTCACTAGACTTGCAGGTTTCGCACCAGATCTAGTTCGCACGGAGGCTCAGAGAGCGCAGCGGTTCATTGACGGGCTTTACCCAGCAGTCCGTTATAACATCGTGGGACACGGCACCCAGACCTACGCTCGTGCAGTGTCTATCGCCCAGGAGGTGGACGCTAGCATTAGGAGGGAGGTAGTTCGTGATTGTGCTCAGCCATCCGACCCAGTTCAGCCATTCCCAGCTTCACCAGCTCTACCAGCCCCACAGCCAGCCAAGGAGAAGAAGAGGAAGGGAAAGGGTGCACAGACTGACCGGAGGACCCGACAGAGACAGCAACCGATTCCACCGTGCCCGACTTGTGGTCGACTTCATAGGGGAGAGTGTCGTGTGGGACAGGACATCTGCTACTATTGCCATCAGCCGGGACATTTTGCGAGTCGCTGTCCGAAGAGACTCCAGCAGCATCCTCAGCAGCCTCAGCAGCCACCACAGCAGCAGCAGCCACGTCAGCAGGCACAGAGGGCGCCTCAGCAGCAGCAGCTATAGAGGGGCAGACAGCAGGCCAGGGTTTACGCAGTGGATCAGGCAGAGGCAGCACAGCAGCCAGGTACTATGTCAGGGATGGTTGTTCTCAATGATATTCCTGTGTTTGCCTTATTCGATACTGGAGCGACACATACTTTTATTTCACGACGATGTCTCGAAGCCATCGGAGTTCACGCCGTTACCACTGTCGATCCTCTCGAGGTGAGTTTAGCCTCGGGACGAAAGATAGTGACCTCAGCTAAAGCCTCAGATCTTAGCTTTTCCATCGGTGGCCGAGTATTGACTGCCGACGCGTTTGTTCTCGAGATGAGGGACTTCGACCTTATTCTTGGGATAGATTGGCTATCCTTTTATCATGCAGACATCAGGTGTCATGACCGAGAGATCACTCTCTATCTTCCGGGAGACGAGTCGATTACTTTCTTCGGCTCCAAGAATCGTTCACTGCCTCATGTTATTTCGATGGCGAAAGCCACTAAGTTATTGCGACGAGGCAACTGCTAGGGTTATCTGGTTAGCCTTGTTGATGATTCTCAGAAAGCGCGGACACCTCATGATGTTCCAATCGTTCGGGAGTTTGTGGACGTGTTCCCAGACGAGCTTCCAGGAGGACCGCCCAACCGTCAGGTAGAGTTTTCTATCGATCTTATTCCAGGGGCCGGTCCAGTGTCCAAAGCCCCGTATCGCATGGCACCTAAGGAGTTGTAGGATCTTAAGACCCAGATTCAGGAGCTATGACGACTCGGTTTCATCCGACCGAGCGTGTCACCTTGGGGCAGTGTTAGCCTAAACGCTAAATGGTAAACAGTCGGCGAGGGCACGTGTAGTGTTTAGACGGTGTACACGGCGTGTACACGGGATTAAACGGATTACACGTTTTTAACTACATTAGTATTAATATTATGACTTATGAGTCAATGACATAGCCATAGCCCATACGCAAATTGCAGATAACATCACAATAGTCAACATCACAGGTGTTCATCTTACAACACAATAGGTAGTAACACACTGCACGCATATATAGTTCTCACAAAATGGATCAATTTTTTGTTCTCCCGCCCAACCGCTTCTATTTCCATAACGGACCGTGTAAACGGCCTAAACGGCCGTTTAGGCCGTTTAATACCGTTTAATACCGTCCCGTTTACACATTTTACACGGTTTTTTTCTGTCTACACGGCTAGCCCGTTTAATTACCGTTTATCTGCTAAACTGCACACCATAGCGCCGTTTACCGTTTAAACAGCGTGTAAACGGTCTAAATGGCCGTTTAGGCGAACACTGCCTTGGGGAGCACCCGTTCTCTTTGTTAAGAAGAAGGACGGATCTATGCGTATGTGCATCGACTACCGGGATCTTAACCGGTTGACGATCAAGAATAAGTATCTGCTTCTCAGGATCGATGATTTATTTGATCAGTTGAGGGGAGCCTGTGTATTCTCGAAGATTGATTTACGATCAGGCTACCACCAGCTGAAGATTAAGGAGTCAGATATCGCTAAGACCGCTTTCAGGACTCGTTACGGCCATTACGAGTTCGTCGTCATGCCTTTCGGTCTCAGCAACGCGCCAGCTGTTTTCATAGACCTCATGAACCGTATTTTCCATCCCTACCTCGATCAGTTTGTTATTGTCTTTATCGACGATATCCTTATTTACTAAAAGAGCCAGAAGGAGCACGAGGAGCATCTGAGGGTGGTTCTCGAAACCCTCAGACGAGAAAAGTTGTACGCTAAATTCTCCAAATGTGAGTTCTGGCTTCAGCGAGTATCCTTTCTGGGTCATGTGATTACTCAGGCAGGTATCGAGGTGGATCCTTCTAAAGTCTCAGCCGTTCAAAACTGGTCGACACCGAGGAGTCCGTCCGAGGTTCGCAGTTTTCTCGGTTTAGCTGGTTACTATCGCAGGTTCATCGAGGGCTTTTCCAAGATCGCCCTCCCTCTATCCCAGCTAACGAGGAAGTCTGTGAAGTTCGAGTGGACTGATCGATGTGAGGCGAGCTTTCAGGAGCTCAAGAGGAGATTAACTTCAACACCGGTGTTGACTATTCCCGATCCTACTCGGAGTTTCACTATCTTCAGCGATGCTTCGAGGCAGGGCTTGGGATGTGTCCTTATACAGGACGGACAGGTCGTTGCGTATGCTTCACGTCAGCTTAAGCCTCATGAGCAGAACTATCCTACGCACGACTTGGAGTTAGCAGCAGTCGTTAACGCTCTGAAGATCTGGCGACACTATCTTTACAGCGGACGTTGCGAGATATTCACAGACCATAAGAGCCTGCAGTACATCTTCACGTAGAAGGAGCTTAATATGAGGCAGCGCCGTTGGCTTGAGCTTGTTAAGGATTACGACTGCTCTATTCAGTATCATCCGGGAAAGGCGAACATCGTCACAGATGCCCTAAGCCGAAAGGTGAAGGGTGACTTGACGTACGTCATTACACAGCAGAGTCCATTGATTCAGGAGTTTGCCCGGATGCAGCTTCAGGCGATTGATGCACTTCCCATAGTAGTTTCGGGGAGTACCAGTGCCAGCGTAAGTGCTATACAGCTTTAGCCGACGCTGAGAGAGAGAATCCGGTGAGAGCAGGCTTCTGACGAGTTTGTTCGTGTCATGGAGGCCAAGGTTCGCGCCGGAGGCGTCAAGGATATTCAGTTAGGTGCCGATGGTGCCTTAGAGTTCAGAGGCAGGATCGTGGTCCCGAAGGTCGAGGCGTTGCGGAAGGAGATTTTATCAGAGGCTCACACCGCACCCTATCTGGCCCATCCCGGGAGCACGAAGATGTATCACGACCTGAAAGGGTCATTCTGGTGGCGAGGCATGAAGAAGGACATCGCCGAGTTTGTCAGGAGGTGTCTTACCTGTCAGCAAGTCAAAGCCGAACATCAGAGTCCGATTGGCCTCCTACAACCACTGCCGATTCCGCGGTGGAAGTGGGAGGAAGTCACTATGGATTTCGTTACGGGATTACCAAGGTCGTCTGAACATCATGACGCTATCTGGGTCGTGGTCGACAGACTGACTAGAGTCGCTCATTTATTACTCGTTTCGATGAAGATGTCTCTGGACAAGTTGGCTGAGATATATACCCGTGGGATCATTCGACTCCACGGAGTGCCCGTCACGATCGTACCAGACAGAGATCCCAGATTCGTCAGTCGATTCTGGCACAGTTTACATAAGGCGATGGGCACGAAGTTAGAGTTCAGTTCAGCCTACCATCCGGAGACAGATGGTCAGTTAGAGCGGACTATTCAGACGCTTGAGGATATGCTTCGTGCTTTGGTTGTTGACAGGGGTGCTAAGTGGGAGTCACTGTTGCCGTACGCCGAGTTCGCGTATAACAACAGCTATCAATCTTCCATTCAGATGGCTCCTTACGAGGCACTTTATGGTCGCAAGTGTCGTTCCCCTCTCTATTGGGACGACGTCAGAGAGCGACGAATACTCGGTCCTAAGATGATCGAGGAGACAGAAGAGCAGGTCGAGTTGATCCGGCAGAGACTCAGGACAGCTCAGAGTCGAATGAAATCATCCGCCGATCATCATCGACGAGACATTTAGTTTGAGGTTGGCAAGCCAGCCTTTCTCAGAGTTCGTCCGATTCGCGGAGTTGTGCAATTCGGAAAGAGAGGGAAGCTGCACCCTCGTTTTATCGGTCCGTTCGAGGTTCTCGAACGAGTAGGCGAGGTCGCGTATCGTCTAGCCCTACCTCCCGAGTTATCAGGCATTCCTCCTGGTAACTCGTCTGGAAAGACGTCAACGAACTCGCGAACGATAGGAACATCATGAGGTGTCCGCCCTCTCTGAGAATCCTCAACAAGGCTTACCAGGTAACCCTGGCAGTTGCCTCGTCGCAATAACTTAGCGGCTTTCGCCACCGAAACAACCTGAGGCAGTGAACGAGTCTTGGAGCCGAAGAAAGTAATCGACTCGTCTCCCGGAAGATAAAGGGTAATCTCCCGGTCATGGCACCTGATATCAGCATGATAGAAAGAAAGCCAATCCATCCCAAGAATCAGATCGAAATCCTTCATCTCGAGAACGAACGCGTCGGCAGTCAATACTCGACCACCGATGGAAAGGCTAAGGTCTGTGGCTTTGGCTGAAGTCACTATCTTTCGTCCCGAGGCTAGACTCACCTCGAGAGGATCGACAGCGGTGACTGTATGAACTCCGATGGCGTCAAGACACCGTCGGGAGATGAAGGTGTGCGTTGCTCCAGTATCGAATAAAGCGAACACATGAATATCATTGAGAACGATCATCCCGGACATGGTACCTGGTTGCTGTGCTGCCTCCGCCTGATCGACCGCGTAAACCCTGGCCTGCTGCCTGCCCCTCTGCTGCTGCTGCTGCTGAGGCGGTCTCTGTGCCTGCTGCGGTGGCTGCTGCTGCTGCGGTG